GACGTCTGTCCTCCACCTGGTGTTCCAGGCGTCCACCCGCCCGTCCTTCACACCCCGTCCAGTGACGTCCACCCCTAGCCGCGCCCCCCCCCCCCCCGCCCCCCTCGCCATATTAATGGGATCACTTCCGCCATGAGCGCTCGGTGTCTGTGTCGTGGTGAACCTTGCATATGGTGGCCATTTTGACCCAAACGACCGGCCGCATCCCCCATCGAGTCCTCTTAACGATCGTTTGTAAGTGGCTGTCCGTCTTTGATGTGGGATTTGGAGTCCCGCCGCCGGAGGATTCACCGAAAGCTGAGGGATTTAAGTCGGGTCGAACTCCAGGAGTTAGTGCGGCCGATGTGTTCCTGGTCAATATTTATTACTGTTGGTATGTTGAAGGGGGGTGTAGGGGGGGGCTAGGGGGTATTGTGGGGGGAGGGCTAGGGGGGTATTGTGGCACTAGTGGGGGGGGGCTAGAGGGGTATTGTGGGGGGGACTAGGGGGTATTGTGAGGGGGAGGGCTAGGGGGGGTACTGTGGCACTAGGACAAAGATTGGGAGATGAGGACGAAGAGGAAGATTAGGTTAGATAGCTAATCAGCAAATAATATCTTATATCTTTGTATTCCATTCCTGGAGAGATTGTGTAGACAGGCGGGAGCAAGATTGCTCAGTTTTATAGGATTGGAGGCAGAGTAATAAGTCTGCCTCCAAAGCCACTGCTACTTAGACGTGTCGGTAAAGCGAGTGCCTTCTTGCAGGGTCGGCGTTCGATCCCTAATGGTCCAAGTGGTGCCTTCAGTCCCTCCACAATATCCCAGCTCTTATCCTGTGCATATATCACTTCCATGCCCCATATAATCATACTGGCTTTCTACTCATAACAACCTAACTGTCCTCCACATCTTGCCGGAATGACTTCGTTTAGAGTGCGTGTGTAGCTGTGTGAGGAGGGAGTCCATCCACGTCTTGAGGGAGGGCGTGAGGAGGGACCTGGACCTCATATATTCCTCACCGAAGTAACTTCGAGCACCCAGAAACAAACTCATGAAATTCAAATTAATCGGCCCGTTCCGATCACACAGGAGATAATCTGATTGAGTGAAAAGTTTGTGTCGAGCCGAGTAATGAAATGATTTAGTCGAGGGAAGGCGAGGGGGAGTAGAGGGGAAGAGGAGAGGGGAAACACGAGTGTGAGGGGAGAGGGGGAGAGAGAGAGAGAGAGAGAGAGAGAGAGAGAGAGAGAGAGAGAGAGAGAGAGAGAGAGAGAGAGAGAGAGAGAGAGAGAGAGAGAGAGAGAGAGAGAGAGAGAGAGAGAGAGAGAGAGAGGCAGGCAAGGGATTTAGGGGGGATAAGGGGTGTAGAAATGGTGAGTAGGGGGGTGGATCTAAAAGGGAGGGAGGGATGATATGAAAGCGGATGTGGAGGCAGAAAAATATATATGATGACGGGAGGAAATAAGAGAGGTGGCGGGAGATGAGTAGAGAAGGGAGGTAGGTTAAGGTAATCAGAAGAAAGCACTAAGCCATCACGGCTGTGCAGCACCTGGAAGGGATCTGGAATAGGACAGAGGAATGGTAGAGAGAAAGTTACAGATAATTCCTGTATTTTACATTTGTATAATCAAAGATTATGATCAATATAATGAGCATCAACACACTCATGTGCGTCCGTCAAGCTCACACTGTATTCTACACCTGCTCATTTAGCCCTTAGAAATTGGTCTATTATGAATTTTAATAAATAGGTGTCTACTTTATTTAGCTTAACTACATTTATATTAGATACAGCCAAGCTGGAACCATCCGTTTACGAAAGTTTTTGATTGAGTTGACGACGTCTTGAGGAGTTGGTTGACAGAAAAGGTTGACGTCCACTGCTCTAGTTGTGGGTAAAGTGGAGGAGTTGGGGAACACTGGCTCGCGCCTCCTCCCTCACACCTTGCCATACACTTACAAAGTGCTAACTTGCAAGTGCACTTTGTCTAGTGTCCTCCATGGAGAGCGCTAGAGACGATTTGTTATATGGAGGCGTCCTGTGATGTGCTTGTCCCTCGACAAAATGAAATTACGTTAAAATTATATAGTGAAGGCCTTGTAGATCTTAGTACGGCCAGTGACCTGTCTCAAGTGTTGACGGCTCTTAGCGAGACGGGACGGGACGGAACGGGACGGGACGGGACGGGACGGGACGGGACGGGACGGGCCAGGACGGGACGGGACGGGACGGGACGGGACGGGACGGGACGGGACGGGACGGGACGGGACGGGACGGGACGGGCCAGGACGGGACGGGACGGGACGGGACGGGCCGGGACAGCCCGGAAGTTCTTGCAGTACAGTACATTGTACTATATAATATATTCTAGTCTTTTGGTACTATACCACAACCATATGAACCAGGTACCACCGCATAATGGTACACACACCACAGTCTAATAGAACAAAACTGAATCCTTACGGTACGGTACCTTTGACAAAATAAAACTAATATTGATGTCTATTGTACCCCTACAGACCTTAACTACTGCGGACGGTATCCCTGCGTGAATGGTGGTACCTGTGAGAATACAGCACCGGACCAGTACCGTTGTACCTGCCCTGAGGGTTTCTCTGGGGAAAATTGTGAGGTGAGGCATTTAACTATCATTTAATTTGTCTTTTGATGATAAGACGTTCGTTCCCCTGAGGTCTTAACCCCCATGTACGTGCCCCTATGTCCTTTACTCATGTACGTGTTCCTTAGCCTATGTACATTTCTCCATATATGTGTACCAGTGCTATATAACCCATGTACGTGTTTTTGCTCTATAACCCATGTACGTGTTCCTATGCTCTATAACCCATGTACGTGTTCCTATGCTCTATAACCCATGCACGTGTTCCTGTGCTCTATAACCCATGCACGTGTTCCTATGCTCTATAACCCATGTACGTGTTCCTATGCTCTATAACCCATGTACGTGTTCCTATGCTCTATAACCCATGTACGTGTCTTGCTGCCACTCACGTGACTTAATGCTCGTCTGCAGGTGGTGGAGGACCCGTGTGCGCCGGGGCCGTGTCAACACGGAGGCACGTGCATGGAGGTCAACGGAGGCTTCCAGTGTACGTGTCCACCTGGCTGGTCCGGCCATACATGCAAGGAAGGTAAGGACATTAAACTCACCTATCTCAAGATAATCAATCATCTCAAGATAACCTAGTTGTGCTTGCGGGGGTTGAGCTCTGGCTCTTTGGTCCCGCCTCTCGACTGTCAGTCAACTGGTGTACAGGTTCCTGAGCCTACTGGGCTCTATCATATCTACACGAAACTGTGTATGGAGTCAGCCTCCACCACATCACTACCTAATGCATTCCACCTGTTAACTACTCTGACACTTAAACTACTGACACTATGTGTGGGCGCGTGCGTGCGTGCATACTCGGATGTGCTTGCAGGGTCCAGCCAGGCTCCTGGGCCCCGCCTTCCGAACGTTCTTAGATTAATACACTGACTTATTTCTCACGCTTTTATTATATTTACATTTAAACAATTGAATCGAATTAGCTTCAACGGTATGTAGGTTATCTTGAGATGATATCGGGGCTTTAGTGTCCCCGCGGCCCGGTCCTCAACCAGGCTGTACGTCTAACCCGTTCCACTATTGACAACTCTAACACTGAAATAGTTTTTCCTGACGTTTCTGTGGCTCGTGTGTGTGTGTGTGTGTGTGTGTGTGTGTGTGTGTGTGTGTGTGTGTGTGTGTGTGTGTGTGTGTGTGTGTGTGTGTGTGTGTGTGTGTGTGTGTGTCTAGTTTCCACATATGACCCGTCATTCTGCTGTTCCTAGCTTAGAGCAAGAGCAAGCTCTCAGCCTGCTAACAGAAGTCAGAAGTCGTCTGCTCCTGTACGCACTGAAGTAGAAAAAAAGGGGGAAGGGGTGGAATGGAGGGGAAAGGGAAGCGCAAGTAAGGGAGGAAACGTGAAGGGAGTAAGTATTCAATTGTTAGGGGGGAGGGGGTGTGAAGATGGAAATGAATCAAGCTAAGGGAAGGGGGGGGGAGGCGGCAAGGAGGGGGAGGTGTCTCAGGTGTGAATGACTACCCCAGGGGGGGGGGGAGGGAGGGAGGACAGGAGAGAACTGGTCAGTAACGGGCGGCGTGACAACACAAGCACTAACACCCCCCTGACAGACCAAACCACTCACCGACAGTCATATCGCCTCTGGCATCAATTACTTTTAAATTTGAAGAGAGACTGTGTAACCGCCGCCAGCCCTGACATTAGTAACCAAAGCAGGATATGCAGACCCATAATCTATTACTGTAGCGTGGTATAAGTTAGAGGCAGTCGGCAAACACGGCGTGTTGTTTATGGAGGCCCCCCTCCCCCGGGGAAATAGGTTTAAGCACTCCCGTGTCTGTTTACATCGTGGATTCCGTCCTCTGCCTCTGGGGGGCGTGGACGTCGGGCTCTGGCTGCCAGTAGCTGTTTGTCGCTGACTGGTGGTGGTTGCTCGTTGCTGCGGGGCGCCAGCTGACTGCGGCGGAGGTCAGCAATATGGCGGCGGCTGGTGGTGGCCGCGTCCGCCGTGTGAATACTGCTCGGCTGGAGTTCTCTGCACCGGTGGATTGGGAACTAGTGGCGGCTGCGCTTTTGGATGTCCTTCAGGTGGATGTTAAAGATCTCCTTGGTCTCGAGAAATTTTCTCCCACTCGCGTGGCGGTGACGTTTGCCACGTCACCTGGATACGAGCGGTTTGTGGGGTGTTGGAACGAGCGGACGACTCCCTTCCTCATTCGGCTGTGTCTGTGACTGTCTCTGATCCGTGGGGTCCACTGACCTTTGTGAGCGTGCACGGGGTACCTGTTACGTTTCCAGAGGTGGAGCTTTCTTCTGTGTTTACGAGGTATGGTATGGTGTTGCGTCATCGGTACAACTTGTTTAGTGCCGGGCGGCTGCGGGGCCTCCGGCTGGGTACTCGCACGCTGCATATGCGCCTCAAGGAGCCCATCCCCTCCAAGGTTATGTGCTGTGGTCTTCCGTTCCGGGTTTTCTATCCAGGGCAGGCCCGCACGTGCTTCCGCTGTGGGGAGGAGGGCCATGACGCTGCCCAGTGTGAGATTCCTCGACTGGAGACTGCTTCTGTATTCAGTGTGGGGGATTTTCCCCCCCTCCGTGAGGATGGTGCATCCCTGGCTGGTCCTCGGCGTGGGGGTGTGAATGGTGGTGCACCTGCGACTGTTGTGCCTGGTGGTGCACCTGCGACTGGTGTGCCTGGTGGTGCACCTGCGACTGCTGTGCCTGGTGGTGCACCTGCGACTGCTGTGCCTGGTGGTGCACCTGCGTCTGCTGTGCCTGGTGGTGCACCTGCGTCGGCTGTGCCTGGTGGTGCACTTGCGACTGCTGTGCCTGGTGGTGCACCTGCGACTGCTGTACCTGGTGGTGCACCTGCGCCTGTTGTGCATGGTGGTGCACCTGCGACTGCTGTGCCTGGTGGTGCACCTGCGACTGCTGTGCCTGGTGGTGCACCTGCGACTGCTGTGCCTGGTGGTGCACCTGCGACTGCTGTGCCTGGTGGTGCACCTGCGACTGCTGTGCCTGGTGGTGCACCTGCGACTGTTGTGCCTGGTGGTGCACCTGCGACTGATGTGCCTGCTGGTTCGTCTGTGCCTATCGTGTCTTCTGTGCCAGCTGTGGTGGAGGACGTGGCTGCTCCTGATTCCCGTCTTCTCCTTCCGGTGGATGTGGAGGTGCATCCTGTTCCTGGTGCTTCGTTGGTGAATGGGCGAGGTGTTGGGAGTGTCGTCTCGGTGCCTCCCGTTGTAGGCGATGCTTTCACTGAGGGTGATGGGAGCGTCGTCGTTGGTGCCGGCGTTCCTGTTGCATGCATTGCGAGTCCGCCTACTGCTCCCCCTGCGGGTGCGTGCCATGAGGGGGCGTTGACCTCCCATGCTCCTCGCCGGAAGCGCGTTGCGGGGGCGCGCTCACGCAGTCGAGAGCCCCCTGGCAAACGGATTGAGGCTTCGCGGAGTTGTGCCTTGGGTGGTGCCCCCCCTCCTCCTCCTAATTCTCCTGTGTCTGATATGGATTCCGGAAGTGATGCAGTGCCGGTTGGCAGCAAGAATTCCTCGTCGGTGGTGGACGTTGGTGATACCTGGTCAGTGGCAGCGGGGTCTCGGCGTGCTTCGCTGGGTGATGCCGGCACTGTCCGCCTCCTGCGGGATCAGAGGCCAGGCATTATGGTGGATTCCCCGACGGTGGAACGGCGGCAGTTTGAGCCTCGGGATGCTGACGGCGCCTCTGCAGTGGGTGGCTCTGTGCCCTCTGGTGGTCCTGGAGGGGCTGGGGGTCATTAATGGGTTCGATGGCGCCTGCTATTGTTTGTGCGTCTTTGAATGTTCGTGGTCTGAATGCTTTGGCGGTCCAATTGGGCCTTGTGGATGTGCTTCGGGAGCAGCGGGTGGATGTGGCTCTGATCCAAGAGCACAATGTTCGGGATGTGTCTGTGTTGCAGGGGTTGTGTGCTGAGTATCATGTTGTGCTGAACCCGCCGAGGACGTCCTTTGGGGGAACGCTGATGTTGTTTTCGCGGAGGGCATCCATTTCCGTGCTTCACACGGAAATGGATGAAGATGGGCGGGTCTTGTTTGTTCGGGCTGAGTATTTGGGGGTTGTGATTCCGTTCTTGACAGTGTACGCCCCTTCTGGGGTGGCGCATCGTCAGGACCGGGAGCTGTTTTTTCGGGAGGGGCTTTTGCCATACCTGCGGCATGATACGCGGGATTTGATCTTTGGGGGGGATTTTAATTGTGTTACGAGTGTGAGGGATTGCTCTAGTGCTCACCCTCGGAATGTTTCGGCCGCTTTAATTGAGGTTTTGCGTGCGTGCGGGTTTCGCGATGCGGCTGTTTTGTGTGGCGGCTCGTTGGAGTATACCTTCGCTGCGCGTGGGGCGAGTTCTAGGTTGGATAGGTTCTATGTTTCTGGTGGGGAGTGTTCGGTTTTTGATTTTCGCACGGTCCCGGTGGCTTTCTCGGATCATTGTATGGTGGTTGTACGGGTTGGTGTCCGGAGTCAGGTGCGGGTGGGGCCTGGGTGGTGGAAACTCAATTGTCGGTTGTTGCGTTGTCCACGTATTTGTGCGCAGTTTCGGGCCTGGTGGGTTGGCATCGTTGCCCGGAAGGCTGATTTCTCCTCTTTGTTCGTTTGGTGGGAGTGGTGTAAGGTGGAGTGTCGGAGGTTTTTTGGGATTGTTGCTAAGCGGGAGGCTGCCGGGAGGTTTGGTCTGCTGCGGTTCCTTCAGGCGCGTTTGTCTTCTTTATATGTGCGGTTGAATGCTGGGGTTGACTGCTTTAGTGAGATTGCTGAGTGTAAGGAGCGTATTTGTGATTTGCGTGCGGTGTTGGCTGACGGTGTTCGCGTGCGTGCTCGTGTAGCTGAGCGGGTGGATGGGGAGAGGCTCTCTCCCTTTCTTTTAGGGAGGGAGAAGGCTGCTAGGGGTTCCGTTCTTCTCCAGGGCCTTCGGCGGCCTGATGGGTCTGTGCTTTCTAGCACAGAGGGTGTTCTGCTTACCGCACGGCGGGAGTTGGAGGCCCTCTATGGGGAGGTGCATGGTGATAGTGTGCTCGCGGGTTCCTTTTTGGACAGGTGCTTTCCCGGTTTGTCGCGCTCGGAGTGTGCCCGGTTGGTGCAGGATGTTTCCACGGTGGAGCTCCTGGAGGTGGTTCGGTCGTTTCGTTCTGGGAGAGTGCCGGGTGCGGATGGCCTGCCCATTGAGTTCTACCTTACCTTTTGGGATGTGCTGGGGGGGGTGCTTTTGGAAGTGGTGCAGGCGTGTTTGCGTTTGGGTGCTCTGCCTGATTCCTTCTGTGACGGGATCGTGCGGCTACTCCCGAAGCCGGGCGATTTGCAGTTGTTTTCCAATTGGAGGCCTATTACGCTCTTAAATGTTGATTATAAAATTCTTTCTAAGGTTTTAGCGCGTCGATGTCGGGGTGTCGTTGCGTCGGTGGTCTCTATGGAGCAATTTTGTGGTGTGCCTGGCCGTGCCCTGATGCATTGCAATGCCTTACTTCGTGACGTGCTTCTCTATGCGTCCGAGTATCGGCTTTCGGCGGCTATGATCAGCTTGGACTGGTCCAAGGCCTTTGATCGGGTGTCTTTAG